ATATAAGATCCTAATATAGATATTAAAAACTACTTTTACTGTGAAATACAAAGATTTCCAATTTTAATTTAATGTCAATTTTAAATATAAAATTTTTGCACTTCCTTATTTAGATGTCTATTTCAATCCATAAATTCCTTGTTAGCAGAAATAACTTATGGTACTGGTTTTGCTTGCTTCCCCCTCCCTTATTTTTTTTATTATTTATTTTCTGAAACGAATGTGTACTATTACAATCTATATTAATTCCTTCTTCCAAAATATCACAAATAGTTGGAGGACATAAAGACAGTACTACATATTCAACACTGAAATAATGTAAGAAGTAGGATATACATTATAAAAACCTAAAACCAAGTTTTGTCTGGAAAACAGGAAAAACGGAAAAAGAGGTCACTTCAGTAAGCATCCATACTTTTCGGGATAATATTACAAAGTACAAAAATAATATTATTGACAAAATTAAGATTTCATATTTCAAGCTGACCCTGGAACTCTGGACCTAAGCACAGAGATTGAGCCACACATCCTATAGTTACATGTTTCTCTTTTCTTAGGTTAAAAACTTTTGGTCTTTTTTGCAAGAGTTGAAAATTTCAGGTGTAAACCTTTGTATCACTTTACTTTTAATGTTGACATTTGTCATTAACTTGATTTTCTATTGAATTAGGTTTTCCTTTAGTGATACTCTGGAATTAGGCCTGTCCATGAGGAGTTCACTGTGAAAGTTTTATATTTACAATGGCTTACAGTCTATAGAAATACTTGCATCCACACACAGTAGTAATTCATGTTTCATTTTGTGTATCTATATGGAAAACATGCAAAAATCTAAACGCATCAAATGTGCCATACAAATGTATAAAGTACATCAGACACTGGCCATAAGCAGGTATTTGTGAACGAAAATTTGAATCCCTGAATTGCACAGAAGTACTAGAACATTCCATCATGAAAATACACCAACAAAGCCTGCAGATCATACAGCTTTCTTCATTTCAGTACTAAAAACATACAAAATTCCATGTGAGTTCTATACAAATAAGCTGAAAAGAAAGATTAATATGGCCATCTAGAGGAGAAAAGAATGCTATGAAAACATACAACACAATTTTGCAGGCTTCAGAATATGATGCTTTTAGAGGCATGCAGCCAGAAAATGGATGTAATAAACTAAGTACAGAATTGATAATAAGCACACCTTAAAATAATATGTTCAGACATTTTGGTGTCTGAATTATGCAAACATATTCCTACTTAACACATTTTTAGCAAGGCAAGCAAAACATACAGGGTGTATTAATAAAAACAAGATTATATTTTTGTCTCTTTGTTAAATTTGTGTACGCAGAGTTAAATACACACACATCTAAACAAATGAATTTAAAAAGAGAAGTTCAGAGTAAACAGTTATCAGCAAAACTGTTTCTTGACTCCTTTGAAAACACACAGCTCACCATTGCAAAATAGAACACGTGAGAGAGACTAGCTGCTGAAGAGAAAATTCAGCAGAGAAATTCAAAATTTACTGAGAGTTAAATATCATTTTCATTACTCGTACTACTCAATCTCTGATGGAATGCACAGAGTCATGGAATCATGAAATGGTTTGAGTTGGAAGGGGCCTTACAGACAACCTCATTCCAACCTCTCTGCCCTGGACAGAGACACTTTCCACCAGACCCAGTTGCTCAGAAATCCACCCAAGCTGGCCTGGAACACTGCTAGAGATGAGGCATCCACAGCTTCTCTGGACAACCCGTTCCAGCGCCTTGCTACCCTCACAGAAAAAAAATTTTTTTCCTAATACCTAATCTAAACCTAGTCTCTTTCAGTAGCTCTTCCAGATCTCCTTAAAACCACTCCCCCTTGCCCTTATTCTTAATGATCAGGGGCTGCTTTACTGGCAAGGAGCAGGAGAAAAACAGTGGTGAGACAAAAATTAAATTAATTCTGTCCTCTCATCACTTCACTTTAACACTATCAAGTGTTACATGCACAACATATGGACTGATCAGTGCCTTACAACGGAAACACAGCCAAAATGTTAAAGACTTAGAAGTAGAAATGATAAACCACATGTGAGAAAACAGAAGCACACAAAGTCAAATGCACTGACAATTTTTTCTCATATTAAACAAAGCACACAGGAACACACTGCTTGTTCCACAAAAGAGTCAAGAAATGGTTCTATTATCTGTCTTTACACTTTTTATAACAAGCAATTCAATGTCCACAAAAGCCAAGTATTTAATAAAAAAATTCAGCATTCCTATGGCATCAAGTCTTCTATAGATATTTTTCCAAGTTTAAGGAACAGTCAAGTTTTGTATTTTTAAAAATCACACTGAAACATCTGGAATGCTGATGCTTCCCCCTCAGAATCATAGCTTTTTAACAACATCTGTTAAGTGATCTGCTTCTCTGAACACATATGAACAGCTTGGTAGTAATAATCTCTCCTTTATTTCTGATTGCAGGTCTTCTTCATGAGGTTTTCACCTCTTTTCATCAAAGTTCTATGTTGGGTAGCTTTCCCTCTGTAATGATCATCACATAAGGCATATACTGTCTCTTCCTCTATTCTAAAACGTTTTTATCATTGTGCAAAGATTCTTTGAAGTAATTTAGCAAGAACATAAAAAGCACTAACACTAATTATTCCAGTATGCCACCTTCAGGTCACTGAGAAGTGAAAAATGTTAGGTTGTTAATCTGCTACCATGTCCAAAACTTTTTTTTAATAGTATTGAACATAATTTTGTTGAGAATAATGGATTAATAAAATGAGACAAACTCCTCAGCCTAATTTGCAAGCATTTTACCAAGCATACAGCATACAATGCTTGCAGGCTCTCAAAAAAATAATGGTTTATTCTCCATTCCTTGTAAAATGTGGGAAGAGAATGCTCTCATAAGCAGCAGCAGAAGTAAAATACTGACATTATTAAAGTTTTTGTGCAAGTAGAAGTATGTGGTTAAAAAATTTAAGTTTTTAAGTTAGAATGTTTTGATAGCTTTTGTTTCAGAAGTTTTTTTGCTTCTAAATCCTGAATGTTCTTTCATTACAATAAACTTAAAAATGACATTTATATCCAGCCTGCTTCCAGAATGGAGAGAGCATTGAAAAGGAATAGCACCTGGTGACAGATATATTTAGCAATAGAAGAATAACAAAAATCAAGGAGGGGGTAACAACTGTAACTTTCCGGATGCAATGTTTGGACTTGCCAGAAAAGGTTCTTTTGTCTTAGACTGTAATCCTGATACAAATTTCCAGACTGGAAACTATCATTCCCCAGATAAAAATCAGTAACTAAGAATTCTGATGAATTAAAAAGATGATAAGGAACACAATCATAAAAATTTAAAAGCAAAAAAAAATTGGATACAGGCTAGCACAATGCCTTTGAAGCTTAAATCCTACAGGGCCAAAGTTAAAAACTTTGGGACATTTCACTGGGAAGATTAACTAGATTGGATAAAAAAATCTGAGCAATTACAAAGTAAGAAGAGGAATAATGTATAACTATGGCTATTTCAACAAGTAGCCCCAGTAGTCTGTAGAGAGAGAAATATCTTATTCTTGATATCTGAAAGGAGTCTTCCTGTGTAATTCCTGTATAATTCATATCTGGTATTATTTGTTAATAATTTTTCCATCTCCTTTTAATCTGCATCATCATTCTTTCCCAACAGTGAAGATGCCATAAAAAACTCTGAGTATCTTATCTTTCATATTACCCCACCAACACTTGAGAGATCTCAGTAGACATCAAAACCAAATATGCTTTTACTGTCCCTATTCCTTCTCCATCATAGTGTTCAAGGATCAGTTTTTACCACCTGACCTCACTTCTGCATCTCCTTCACTATTTGCTGGAACTCAGACTACCTGCCTTCCTACAATTTAACAGCAAAGGAAAGAAACTAATTTTCTGATGATCAAAAGAGAATCCTTTAACTCTGCAACTTACTTGAAATATGGCTTTCATGTCCTTCATGTCTTAGCTTGGAATCATGAATGACCATATACTAATTTCAAATTTGAACAGGAAATAGACTTTTATATAATTTAATTATATCAAATGGTAGAAATTCTAAATTTTTTCAAGCCCCTCTGGACTGTATACAACATTTAAGGTGAAATATCTTTTAATTACATGTATCCACTTTTTATTAGAAAATATCAAACAGCTAAAAGACTTTTGCCTTTTAACTTAAAGGAAGACCAAAAATACCTTATTGTAATCCAGCACCTGTACCAGAATCTGACTTTTATCTAACTCTCAGAAAAGTTCACTTTTCATGCTTGAAACTGGTTACAGCCACAGTTCTCACACAACTATTTTCAAATACAAAAAGCATATTGACAAAATATTGACAGCAGAATTCTCAGCCTCTACATCAAGCTGTCACCCCAACTTAAAATCAAGACATGTATAGCATGTAAGAAAACATCCACTGTTTAAATCCAACTTTTAGCACCATGGAAAAATACATTAATCTAATCTTTGTAGTAATTTCTTTCTGTCATTTCAAGAGAAGAAAAGATACAGAACATTCCAGAAATGCACACTGCAATGACCATATGCACTGTAGCCAATAACCAATTCCATTTACTTTGCTGTTAGAACAGCTTATCAACACTGGAAAAGCATGTCTTCTTCGTATTTATACCACAAATTCAACAAGAGTTGCCATGTTTCCTTTCTAAATCAAAACAGCTTAAATTGCCCCAAAAATGAAATGAATAATGATAAAATTAAATGAAACTTAATATAACAAGATATTGTATCACTTGTAGTATTTCTGGAAGAATGTATACAAGTGTGTGCTTTTTTTTTTTTTTTTTGAGCATGCACTAATATAAGAGGTGTCTGGATGTTTCTTGCAGACATTGACTATTTGCTAGCCAAGCTGCTCTTGTCTTGGAATTACTTATCCAGAACACAATTCTGAAATTTGGAATAAAAGGAAGGCTTTTAAATCGCTCTTACCTTCATCTATTGAGGCTTCACTACTGTATCCATCATATTCTGCAGACAGGGGACTATATTTTTGTCTGGTTTCCCATATATAGTTTTTTTGCTGTCTGCCATCCACCACTGGCAGCCTGGAACTCTGGGTTCTAGACAAGGCCTCATGATATTTACCCAGTGCTTCATCTTCACTCTCAGATGATGAACCATGCTGGTCTTTACTCATATAAGAATTGTCTGTTTGAATAAAATAAAGCAAATCGACTACAGCTCAAAATAGAAGACAAGAAAATAACCATAAGAGGTTATCATTGAAGATATTTCAGCCATTTCAATTAAAATTTCTGTAATATTTTAAAAATATTTTGTTGTAATTACAAGCATTGTGATTTTGTAATTGCTGAGAGCTGCTCTCATTTTCTAGAAGACCTGAAAGATCATTAAGCCCCAAAAAACCATACTGACACTTATTCAACAGAAAACAGATCAATTCATGTAAGGGGGCACATAGACATTCTTGAAACCCTTCATTAAGTAGGCAAATGCTTAAAATAATTTATGTGAAGTAAATCCAACACCGCTGCAATATTACATTTGGATACCTAACATATCAAGCAAGCAGCTCTTGATGCTGCATTCCCAGCTGATTTTTGCTGTGAGTATGTAGCATAGCATTGAAATGAAACTGATTTACAAAAAGAAGCCTACAACAAAATCATCTTTAGATAGTTATGACAGTAGTGCTTAAACTCACAGTAACAAATGGGAAAATGCTAGTGGAAGATGTTTGCATGCACAATTTTATTTAACTTACAATAAACAACTCCTTGTTCAATAACTGAAATTAATGCAGATTTTTACTGCAAACATCTGGCAAAAGCAAAAATAACATGGGAAAAAAAATTATCTAGTTAATTATTTTATAGCAGTTCTGTAGTGTTCACTCCTGCGGCCAACGTTTTCCAACTACATCTGAAGCGTGACTTCCTCCCACAAATCAAAGATTAGCTGATTTTTTATTTCTGTAAAAGGAAAATTTCCTCCTCCCTTTTTCCAAAGTTCAAATGAATTCTGCCCAAATTTAACATGCCTTGCAGAGGTTCTGTAGATCTCAGACTCCAACAGGAGTTAAGAGTTCATGTAAACTCAGAAGTCAGCATTACCTCTACTCTGAGAGCAAACCTATGGTATATGATTTGTCAGTGCATTTCCATTACCAGCAGAGCTTTGAGCCTGTCATGCTGTTTCTCAGCTCCTGAATCTGAGGGAATGTTGTCTAACATGCTATCCAGCCACACACAGCTGCTTTTCCCCTCCCTGCTTTAGGCCCTCAGCTCCAGATCTGCATTTCCACTCCCAATAGTGTCTGTCTTCATGCCCAGTCAGTCTCACTCCTCTGGTTGGGTATTCCTGATAAAAGAGAGATCCAGCTTATTTGAAATTCAGTCAGTTAAAATTAAATTAACTCAATGTATGCCAGCCATCTAGGCCTGTTTTACAGTCAAGTGTTTGCCCCTTAGTACTACAGAGGTCCATCCTTCCTACTTTTAGGAATCACTTCCCATAGAGGTCTTTTTCTCCCTGGTACTCATACAGAAAAGCCTCCACTGCAAGTTAGGTAAGAAATCTTTTGGAAAGTTACATTTATACAAGTAGAATCCTATGCCAAGTTCCTGCCTCCCAGTCCCATACTCCAAGTTCTTGCTCCAAGCCCCACTTTTGGTTTCTTATGGCGATTTCCTCTATTCTCTTGGGCTATTCAATCCCAAATTCACTTTACTTGCACCTAGCCAACTACTTATGCAACCTTGGTCTTTCACCTTTAGTCTCTCCACCTTCATATGAAGTTATCAGTTCTCTCCACAGCTGTCACTTCCTAGTTCAAATCCCAATCTACCATGTGCATCAGCTCCTATTTGCTCAGGAAGTGTCTGTCCTCACACAGAATATGTTTATTCTCAATTCTATTGTTCAAACTCCCAGTGTCCCTCAGTAACCATAAGTATCAAAGGCAGGGTAAGACCTGCTCCATTCTTCAATCCCCCCAATTAAGCATATGAGTGCAAATGGGATGGTCAGTGAATTTAACAAGCAAAGTATAAGAAGTGTTTACCATGTCTTTTCAAAAAGAAAACTTCTCAAAAATTTACAACTTTGTCAAACCTAGGTCTTCATAGAACATGGGCACCTGTGACATGGGAGAAGTGTTCTCCCACATTTCAAGCACATATTCCAATACACAAAAGTGCCATAGCATCTTTGTTAAGCTGAGGTGAAATCTAAATTTTTTTTTTTTTTTTTGCACAAATACCCAGCATGTTTTTTCCATAACCTATTTTTGGAAACAGTTAAAGATTTTAAACTATAACTTAGAAAAAAACCCCAAACAACAGGATCTCAGACAGAAAGAATGCCTAGTATCTTCAAAAGTCTTTCAAATTTGGCACACCATTTAGGAAACTCATAATAAGGTCTTGAAACGGAAATTGTCAGAAAACCTTAACTGGATGTGGGGCTACCAGCTCTACACACAATGTGCACATCAATTTAATTTACTTTTTGTAGGAAAAATGGTGCCCTAAAAGACTTCTAAGGAGCAACTAGATCCTTCAACTCTAGACTATTAATTCAAGTCTAGCAGATATGGTTCTTCTCATTTATGAATGGCTATAAAGCAAGTTCAATTTCAGTGATCATTTACTGAAAATATCACACCAAGTAGGATATATTCTGGCTAAAACGTTCATTGCAAGAGGCTGCACAGAAAAAGGAACACAGAGTAAAATTTTATATATCATACAGCCCTCCAGGGGTTGAAACTTCTACAGATTTCCACAGCTATAATTAAAGCAGAGCATACCAGGCCTAAAATACAGTGCTAGACAATAGTATTAGGTGCATCCTTTAATGTTACAAGAAATGTATTCATAAATACGAAATCAGCTTCATTAATCAGCCTTCATAAAGATTGGAATAGTACAAAACACGGCAGCAATGTGTTTGAAAGAAGAGTTTAAAGTTATGTCTCTAATAATACACTGACTTTTGTAAACACCCAGAAGTTCTCAATGGTAGCAGTTTTTTAATTTTTCTCCAGTTCCTATCATAAAAAATGAGAATGTATACCATTATTATAAGTCATGAAGCAAGACCTCCTCAGAGGACTTAAAAACCTCCTCAAAGTTTAAACATAAGCTATCCATGCAATTTTTTTAAATTACAAAGCAGATCAGTTTTCTTGGGAATAGCTTCCTGTACATTAAAAAAAAAAAAACAAAACAACAACTCAGAGTATTATGCCTTTTCTTGCCACCTCTCATTTGATTTTTATACCTTATTTGGAAATTTGACTAGGAGAATTTATGTTCTTAGCAAAACTTTTCCTTTATTTTATGAGTCATGAGCAATTATTAACCTATTGAAAGCTATTGATCTGCTTATTATGGGACCTAAATGCCATTTTTGAGAGAATACACCTTACAAATATATTATTATGTCAAGAAATAGATAAGATCATAGTTAATCATAGAAACATGGAAAACACTCCTAATTCAAACTAAAAAAAAAAAAACCAACCAAACAAAACCAAACCAAAACTCAACAAAGCAGATAACTGAAATTTTCAGATAAGGAAAACACACACAACTGAAGAAAAAGAAATGGGTTTCTATTAGGAAATAATTCATTTCTTTACAGAGTTAGCACCTCTGGAAAAGCATGTATTGTTTTCTAAAAATTTACTGTGCAGCCTGTAAAAGTATGTAAAATTGCAAGGTTTTACTTCTTACAAATTATTATTGCAATTCCCTTATCACACTAAGATTGGATGTTGAAGACAGCACACAAAGCATCCATAACAACAACACAGGTTTTCTTTTAAGACTTCAACTTTAAGACAAGCCTCATTCACTTCTTTCTATACTTAAAATGACTTAATTGCCATTTCTTATTGAGTTTCTCATTTCTCATTGTGTCTTGAAATCACTATCTCAAGTATCCCAGAAATATTCTGAAGATCTACTGTAATGTAAATGCAAAAGAAGTTATTTTTATCATCATAGCACATCTTATGCATTGCTTTAAAAAGAAAATTAAAAAATCATTTTCACAGAACAAGTATTCATTTCCAGTATTAATTAATTCATAGTTTTCAGCAGAAACCACACAAGGCTTAGAAGGCAAGAAAAACTGTATAGAGAAAGAATAAAGTTAGAACATAGAAAAGGCATTTATTAATCAGTTCCTTTAAGTAATACTTTGGAAAGTAATTAACTTCCAAGAAATATCAACATAATTAGAAAATGAAGCACTGAAACAAACCTACTTTCACTCACAGGAAACCCTATTATTAAATGTGTAAATTAGGTGAAAAAAGTAGGAAATATCATAAGTTTCAGGAAAGGCTGAAGAATGCAGTTTGCTGACAGACTCCTCACCTTTTCCTGCTGTCTTCTTATTACATAGCTCTCTTTCTAATTTCTTTGAATTTTTTCTTTTACCTTCATTTGCAATTGCAGCTGACACACTGTCTTCATCTTTTGAGATGGGTCTCCTTTTTCTCTCTAAGAAGGCTTCAGATTTCTTTTCTTTGATTTCATTAAGGCAATTGGGATGGTCATTGTGCATCTTCTTCATGCTGGAGTCTGATAATTTCTCCTTCTGTTTTGTTTCCAAGTCTTGGGGAACATTCATACTGTGCACTTTATCAGAATCTTTAAAATCAACTCCAGGTGACTGTGGTTTGATTTTTTTATGCTCATGATTCTTCAAATTACCTGATACTGCATATAGACAATTATCTTGCTCCTCAATGGATTGCTCCACTGTAATTTTTTTATTTTTCAGGTTACTATCCTTTAAGAACTTATCATTTACAAAACATTCATTTCCCCCTACCACTTCCCTTTTAAAAGGTCCTCCTACAATCTTCAAATCCTGAGGTACTTCTGTATCACTGAGAGGATTATTATGATCTGTGCCTCTCAACTGGTTTTTGTTCAAGACATGGTCAGATACTCCAGCTTCACTTGTACCTTTTTTTACAAAATCTAACGAATCAGAATTGTGAGTCTCTTTATGTTCTGCAGCACCTCTCTTTGTTTTCATATTCATTTCCTGAGAATGAGCTAATGATGGTGTGTGCTCCTCTCTGCCTTCCACAGGTTTATCACTCTGTGTTTTGGAGCTCTCATCTTCTGCCCGCAGGCCATTGATCATGCTCGTTACTTGCTCTGTCACTGAGTCAGCCACAGAGTAGCCAACCTCGCCAACAACACTGGCCAGGTCATCCACAGCACTGCTGAGCGTGTCCACCAGGGAAGACACAGAGGGAAGGCTCAGATTTTGGTGAAGGTTTCTAAAAAACGCCATTTGTCCAACCTATTCAGCAACAGCTCTTAATACTGAGAGGTCCTGTGTTTCACAAACTGAGCATCTGTTTCTCCAGCTTCAATTTCAGAGCTATTTGCCTGCTACCTCAAAAATCAATATATTTACCAGGGGAAGTTGCAGCTTTTCTCTTTTCATTCGATAATCATTGAAAATAACAAGAAAACAGCTAAATAAATATCTTGAAATGAAGCCACAATCAACCAGCAAAACCATAGTCTTTCATGAACTGTAGCATCAACTAGCCATAACAAAATTCATTATTTTCAAAAACAAGACAACTGTGTGAGGTGATTTTTTTTTTATTCTAACCTGTGAAGAAGAAGTTGTGAGACATTTAAATTTTTATCAGTGTCACACTAAAACAAGCTTTAACATAACACAACACACATCGTGGAGACTTCTTCACCCCAAAATATTTGTTGTCTTTTACATAAGATAAGATTTTTTGGAATATCAAGACTGGTTTTGTAGCAAAATTGAAAGATAGTATGACAGACAATTTCTGGGGAGAATTTTTTTTTTGTTTCCTGGAAACTGAAAATAAAAATTTAGCTCCAACTTTTAGAGAGGTAGAGGGGAAGAAGGCCTCTTCGATTTCACATTTTGTTCTCTGGTGCCTGTCTCTTTCAAGTCAGCTGACAAAGCCTGTTCAGTACAAAACTAGAAAGAGATTGTTTTACCAACCCTCAAGATCTTTTTCAAGATAATTTCTTTCATTACACATGATCCTTAAAGATCTTGTTGTATTAAAAGATATTCATTAATGTGTTACTCAGATATAACTAAAATTATTCTTTAAAATTATTTTCCAGGTGATTAAAAGCAAGACTTTGTCCAAAAGTATGGCAAAGGGTTTTAACAGGCTGAGTGAAAATCCAATAATCCCATTCACAAATTTACCTGAAAAGATTTAATTATACAAAACTATGGAATGTTTAAAATACGTTTTAAAGTATTGTCAGAGTGCAAGAGACGTATTTCCCCATAAGTAAATGCAAACTCTTTGGTTATACAGCTGTTGAATTTCTGTGGCTTGTGCATACAAAGGTTTGCTCCTTTCAAGTACTGCAGTCACAGGAAAAGTCAACGTCATTGTGTTGCCACATCCTTGTAAAAATGTGCATTCTTATAATTAAATTTAGTACACTGTATGTTGGATACTTACAAAGTTTATCTTGTGAATTCCTTCTTGTAGTGTATCCTGAATCGAGATCTGGGAAACCACTAACATTTTCAATACACATCTTCTTATTAATATATAGGAAAAGTAGCAACATGAGAATAATGAACACCCCAACTGCAGACAGGAATCCAATTGCTTCTGGAGACACTAAAAGAAACAGAAAGAAACACATTTTCAAATACCTTGTAAAGTTTGCAGAGTTGTAATATTATCAGAAATGATCACTTAAAAACACCTTGAAAGATGCAAACATATTTGCAAAATGTAATTAAACCCCCACCATTTAAATCTGAGTTAATATTTAACCATCTTTTCAAAGAACAGAAAAGCATCTGGTCCTAATCTGAGAGGGATTGACACTTCAAACAAGAGGTTCTGATGGAGGACTAGAATATTTCTGCAGGAGAATGGGGAAATCATCAGAAGTTGCCAAAATCAATGATTTCTGATGGAACACCTGAGAGACAGCACAGGAAAGGAGCTAAGAGCACCCCATCTTCTGGAGGCTTGGCTGCCTCTGCTCAGGGCCAGCTCTGGGACAGTGCTGCTGAGGAGGGACTGAGCCCTTGCCCTGTCCACCTTGCTATATTCAGCACCTGCTCCTCTTCCTTCAGGGACCAGCTGGCCCACCCTGCTCCCTGGTAATGAGCAAAAAACAGAGTGACAAAAACCATGTATGTCCACTTGCATATGGACCAAGAAAGAGCTAATAGAAAGTGGAACAGAGATACAGCACACTTAAAACCAGGTAGAGGGGGAAAAAGTCCAAAGTGGACTGACATGTCTTAGAGAAGATGTAAAATAAAGAATATGCAATTGCTATTAAACAGATAACTGCAAAGCAGTATTGGGGATCTTTGAAAGGTGTAGCATCTTTGACATCCACGAGCATCTAACAACATCAATTACACCATTTAAGACCAAGACTATCAAGCAGCAGGTTTTAGAAATATAAAATCTGCAAATGGATGGGGCAAATTGAAGTAATGGGGAAATAGTATTTAAAGGGCAGCTTGTTTATTTGAAAGGAGAGCGGGCAGAGAAAGGGACATAGAACAGCGGCAAAAATAAAAGTCTAGAAATGTGAGAAATAAGTAAAACTTATAAAGGCAGTTCAAGACCAAGAGTGGGCAGATCTTTTGGAAGGAGTGAAGATGCCCACAGACTATAATGAAGCTGAGCTGCTTCATTAATAAAGGCTACCAGGATGTTAGAGGGAAGGATTCCTAAGGTTCCCTTAGAAAATCCAGTGGACTTTCCACAAGGTCTAAATCCAAAACACTTGAAGCAAGAAGTTAAAATGGTGACAGGATTGCGAATTTATTATGAAGTAGGGTGAGAGGTTAAAGTTTGCAGTTTTATAACTCTGCAATTCAATAATATTTGGGTGCAATTTATAGGAAAAATGTGTAGAACTCAATAACTGCATTCAATTAACAACCATATAAAGCATCACAGAACTGTGATTCCTAGTGATATGTAACAGATTAATTAATCTGTTAAATGGTTTATCAGTAGCATACTGATAATTAAGAAACATTATAGGTTCAGTTATGTCTTAAACCTGCATTCTAAACAGGAAGAGTAATTCTTGAGAGTGGATTTTGTGGCCACTACACACAGACAGCACGTCTTTCAGAGCTGAACACAACTGCATTAATCTGGATGAAAGCTGGGATATCACATATCTCTTTTCTTCCTCCTGACTTTGCAAGACTCTGCACTCAACTCCATAAATTCTGTTCTTGGGGTTGATTTTTTTTTTCTATTTAATGAAGATTTACAAAGCTTTATCAGATTTACAAATCCTGTTTGCCAAGATCTTGGTACTTCACTTTAGGACTATAATGCTGCATGGTAACATCTTTCACTATTTAAAAAGGAGTGGGATTAAAGAAAAGTTGGCAACAGACTCAGCATCCTCAGAGATGCAATACAAAAGGACAAGACCCAAGAATCCAAAATAACTACAAGAAAAGTTCCAATTGGAGATGAGGCGGGAAAAATCCAGAATGAGAGAAATTTATCACTGGAACAGATTGCCTAGATCAGTTATAGAATCCAATTTCAATGTTATCCCTGCTTTGTGCAGGGGACTGAACTGCAAATTACTTTCCCAGGAGCCTTCCAAATGAAATCATTCTCAGATTCGACATATGCCCTTTGTAAATCTGGGCTCATACATCTATGTAAAAGTACTGACTGAGAAACACATGCAGTTCCACAAACTCCTCAGTTCGTTTTGCAGGATGACAGGGAACATTTGTGACTGTGATGCTGTTCCTAAATTATTATACAGGTGTCTTTTAAATCTGACAAAGAAAGAAAAATCCAAAGAAATGTGCCTTCCGCCATGAACAACAAATTGGACAGACTTGCACCTGTGTTTTGAGCTGGACATCCAGACCTATCTAAAACTGACAATTGCTTTACTTCTTACCTCTGACCAGAAGAGATCATGTAACATTTTGCCTAAACCATCCCTGAAATTTTTCCCATGAAAAGGAACTTGACAGCAACTTCAAATGAGATATCCTGCTGCATCAAGAGGGGTAACAAGGTGAGAAAAGTGCATTTGTATTCTGCAACAGAGAGGAAAGGCAGCTATTTTTTTTCTAATTATCATGAAATTTGGCATGTATCAGGCATTCATTTATTGTTTATCAGGTGTCTATTTTACCATTTTCATGAGTAAACAGACACTTGACACATATGGGAATACTCTGAGATTTCACAAAAGCCTCAGTTCATATATATTAATTTTTGACCTCAAAGCTTAACAGATGAAATCTCCCAAAGTTCTGCTGGCACTAGGCATGCTCCCACCCCTTCCAAGGCTGCATGGATAACTGAGAATATCTGAGGCTACTGGAACAACACCTAGTTTTCTCTGAATTATTGATCCTGACCTAAATGAGACTAGAGACTAGGCCCAGAACAGAAAATCTTCATTTTCAATAACTTCCAGCTATTACACCTATCAAACACAGAGGCAGTGGCAGAAAAGGCAGCAGGAGGGAACTGCAATTCACCAGAACACAGGGACCAGCAAAAGTGAAAGAGCAGTAGAAGGTGGCACAGGTTAATGATGCTCAGGGAGGAAGTCAGTGTGAAATATAAAGAAGGTGTGACACCAATTTGGGGTACACAGAACAAGCCAGAAAGTGATGAGAAAGCAAAAAAGAAGACAGATCAGAAGGCAGATAAAGATCATGGGAGCTTTGGATGAACTATGAGAATGATTGCTTTATTATTGGAGAAGGCTGCTCTAAGCAGCCTTGCCTGAATTCAGTGTCCACACTGCTTTGAGGAGGAGATTTAACTGAATTCCAGTCATGAAATGATTCTCAACAAAGGGCAGTGACAGTCTCCTTTTAATAGGATACATTAATTGCATAACATCTTCAGGGAAAAAAACCACTCTCACATATGTCACATTTGATCTTTTAAAACTGTAGGTTTAAAGCGCAATTTTAAAATTTTTATTTGTGCTTACATTGTTCAGCAATCAAACTGCTTTGATCCATCAAAATATGTGCTTAAGGAAGTCAACCACAACCTAAAAAGAACTGAAAGCTGAATACTTTGGGGTTTTTTTCTCCAGTACTTCCTGGATACTAAGCAGTTAAAAAAGTCTGAAAGCCTTATAGTTCTCTATGGAAACACAGTATCTGATGACATTTTTCTGGAGTGAAAAAAGAAACATTGGCTGATACCTTACAAAAAGAATGAAACTTAAGCTGCAGAAAAACCAATTAATTATTTATGTAATTCAGTGTGAACATAGGATTGAAAATTATATTTCTGTATCAATTTGCACTCATGTAAAGAGTCTTAGAATACTTGTTCACAGATTAGGTAAATTATCAAGCTGAAATCCTTCGAAGTATTACCATTAAAAAGCCAGGGGAAAAAGAATGTACTCCAATTTTCCACATGCATGTATACAGATTCCCATCTATGAATACAAGTTTTGTACATCACATTAATCCTTCAGGTAGTTTCTTAGCTTAAGTGTCAACCAGGTACACTTCATAGACAGAAAAAAACGTAAAGTTCTTTTTTGCATTAAAAAATACATCTATGCTGCATTCAACAGCAGAATTATTTTGATTCAAAACATATTGTAATAAATTCTGAGTTGTCTGGGAATTAATTGTACCATGAAAAGCATTTTAAAAACTCTCAGAGGTTCCCAGTGCTTCCTTCTACTATCAGAAACAGTAGAAAAGCAATATTTTCTCAAAGTCATACTTTAAATTCAAAGGTCCTACTTGTATACACTTCATAATTATTTTTGGTTCTTAAGAAAAACAACAATAGAATTCTGAATTTATGTTTGAAATTCATTATAATATAAGGCAGTTTTAGAAATACCAAAAGATCAAAAGTGTTTCTACAAAGTTATCAAGACTAATTAAATTGCTGGCTATGGAAGTGGCATAGAAAGTCAGTCATTACAGAAGTATTACCTTAACAACACTTTAATCCCATTTTTTTGTTATCATCACTAGAATCAGAAGTATTAGAACACAGAAACTTACCATCTCTTCATCTTAAATATCAAATTAGCAGCTCTTTCTCAAATAATAACTTCCTCATTATAACATAATTTTTCATGGCCAAAAGATGTTTCAAACCCTTCAGAAAACAATGATATCTTCAAATATATACGACCAAAACAACAAAAATCCTCAGACATTTCAAAAAGATGAAACATTTTTATATGAAATTTAAAAGCATTTAATATTTTAAGATGTAACTAGCCCCAAAGTTTATCTAATATCTAGTTAATTATTTTTGGAGCTTTCACACTCTACATCATACTGCTCACTTAGCTAGTAATGTACAAAGCCACACAGTTATCTTAGTGATGTTTCAATTATTCATTTACAAATGCAATATTATCCCTTCTATACACAAAGCAAGTAACCAGGGGGTATGATCTGAAAAATGCAAATTACCTTTAGTATCCTAGCACCAAAAAAAATTGAAATTTAATATGCAACCTTGTTTTTAATTATAACTTGGGTTTGAGGAGTTTTTTTACAACTCCATCTAAGATATTTTAGCCCTTTAAATTATTTTAAATATACAGGACTGTATTGTTTTGCATTTAGTCCTGAAGAAGAATGATTTACTGTTAT